GAGGCCCCGGGGCAGCCTGTCTGTCTGCAGCGCGGGCCGGCACCTCTGCCGCTGTCCCCAGCTCGTCCCTGCCAGCAGCCGGTGACGGCACCGCCAGCAGTCCCATGGGTGCTGGGGTCCCGCGGGTGCCGGGGGTCCCGCACGCCTGCCCGGCAGCGTGTCCATGGCACAGGGTGGCACAGGTTGCTCTCTGCAGAAGCACACGCACCCCGTGGGCTCCCTTGCTCCTTCATCCCCATGGGGTTCCCTGGCTGTTTCAGACCCTTCTAGTCATTCTGTCATTTTGGTTGTTGTTCTACAGCTTTGCCAAATGCTGGTGGCAGAAAGGGCAGGGGTACCCAGTGAGCGTCCGGAATTGCAGCACTTGTTCACTCACAGGCTGGACATGCAGGGATCCCTGCAGGGGACACGCTTTGGGAATCGGGCCTTCATACCCTCTTTCCTGTGCTCCTGGGAAGCCCTGGCTGATCCCATTGCTCACATTCCCAGTACAATCTCCGGGCACTTTACAGCACAGTGTGTGTCACTCCAATACAGTTTGCCATGCGACCCCTGTAAGCGTTCCCCTTGCTCTGGATCACCAAGTGAAGCTTTGCTTCCTCTGGCAACTGTCCTGCTGCGCTCGTGTTAGCATTAGTCTCTTGTGCTAAACTGAGATCAGAAAATTATCAGCAACTGTATAAGAGAACGGCCTGGGTTTTGAGTGCAAGTTCCTCTGAGGTTTGATTGCCGTATGCAGGTATTGGAGTGCTTGGCGATATCCCTGCCCTGGATTATACCCTGCGAGATTCCCGTCCTGGGCATCGTGCGGAGCAATGGGCAGCTGAGGAGGGAGAGGGAGATGAGCACACGCAGCACCGGCTTAATCTGCGCTGCCATTCTCCACAAGGCCAGCGATAACAATTGGGGCAGAAGTAGGTGTCATCGGGCGAGAGAGTTGTTTGAGAGTGATTAAAGAGACGTCGCATTATCACAGCAGAGCATTCTTCGTGCACCAGCACTGGGCAGCCATGTTAAACTTTCCCCATCTTCTTTGAAGCATATATTTTTTTTTTTTTTAAAAAAGTAAATTGCGCACATATTTGTCATTTTAAGCTCTAGGAGATTGCAGTTTAATGAAAACAAAGTTTCATAAACCCTTTGACACTTGCAGGAAACTAAAGAGCAAAAGCAGGGTTTAGATTCTGCTTTCAAGATTTATGAAACTCAGTCTGCCCCAAATTCTTCAGTTAGAGTAACTGCATGTGACACCGTTACAAACTGAGATCACCTTTGAGAGGAATGCCATGCACTAGCAGGACCTAGCCCCACAGGAATGTTATTCTCAAGCTCAGAGAATAACTGCCATTAATTCAATCATTGGATTTACAGGCAGGGCTCAAGGAAATTATAATCCCACTTTTATAATGTATAACCATGTATCTTGCTCACTTCCACCTTTTAAATGAAAAATAAAATCAATTTGTCCCTCTTGTAGCCTGGATTTTGAGCAGAAATAGATATGCTCTGCATTAATACTAAAAGCCTTTTTTCTCACAAACTATTTTGTTCTCCCAGGAGTGGCTTGTGAGTGGCTAGAGAGACCTTAGGCCAAGCTGCTCTTCATGTAAAATTGATGTCCAAGTGAGCCGGGAGGCAGCAAAAGAGGAAGGAAGACCCCAGCTTCACGCTGGCTGCGTGGGGTCGTGGTGACTTCCCTGCAGAGCTGAGCGAGTCCTGCTGGAAAGTGCCCGCACTGAGCAGCACTTGGAGCATAGCTCTGCAGTGGGCAGCCCTCTGAGGTGGGGATGAGACAAAGACATTGTATAAGTGTATATTTCACAATAGCGTGATTATTTTCAAGGCAAATTTCCTATACAAAAGCACAAGTTTCTTACAATGCATGTAGCAGGGGGTGATGAGTGCAGTCTCCCTTCACACCTGCAACCATGTAAGCTGTTTAAACTGAATGTTACTTTTCTCCTGTGCCCTGGCTGAAGGATTGCTGCCAGCCCTATCAGAGGGGTAACTTTTCAGGAAACTTGTAATTGGAGACTGCTCTGCACCACATCCATATAGTTGAGCAGAGTTAGCTCTGGGTTTTCAGTGGTCCGCAAATTTATATCAATGTGCTACCCTAGACTGGACATACTACAGCCCGCACATGGTCTTAGTTCCCCTTAGAACCTAGAAAGCCCTTAGAAGGGCTTTCTTCTAAGCAGGGTGGCCGTGTCTGGGCAACATCTGCTGCTGCTCTTGGCAGCACTGTCCTGAAGTGAAGCCATGTCTGGGGGAGGAATCTGACTTGTATGGATCAACCTTCTCAGCACAAATGTGTTGGTGTGGGCAGAAAACACTATCTGAGCACTCCGATTGTAGCAGCCAGCTTTCCACACAGTGCTACCAGCACGCAGTGCTACGTATTTCTTCTTAGTTTATCAGGATGGCAGAGAGATTTCCTCAAGCCTGGGTTACATGTGCTGGCAAGCAGCGACCATCTGCAGATGGGTATTTCTTTGGCTCTTTGCCCAGTTATCTGTGATTACAGACTGGTGCTGGTCTTTCCTTTTCTTGTTTGGATCTTCACCCCTCAAGCTACAAGACTTAGAGTAGGATCAGGTTTTCCTGTGCATGTCCAGCATGTAGCACAGTGCACCTCAGCATTGCCTATGCTGCAGGGGACTATTTTACAGCACAAGGTATTGGTAAGTGCAGCTGGAAGTCAAGAACAAGCATTTAGTGGTGAGACTTGAGAGAGAGCTCTATAAAAATGAATTACAGACTGCCCTAAGTGCTTCAAGATTTATGGATAACAGGAAAGCACACCTGTCTGAATGGGCTTTCTCATATGCAGGTGCATTTTTCTAGGATCACACTCAATTTCACAAGCTCCATCTACATGTATCCATATGAATCCTTACTACACGTGGTATTATGAGCAAAGCTGATTGTGGAGTGAGTCCCTGACTCTTTGCAAGAAACTGGTAAAATGAAGTACCCATAGTGCTGAAATTAATGTCAGAATCTCCACTGCTTTCTGCAAAAAAAACAGGATCTCCTTCTATCAGAGTCCAATATTCTGGCGCAGTTCTTGTAGGTGTTCCACATGTGAAGGCTGTAATGTTTAATATAAGATTTACTTATTTGGAGGTATTTGAAGTTACACAGGATTCTGATGTAACCAAGTGATAGAGAAAAATACTGAAATTAGAATGAAAGTGTAAGTTACGTCTAGTAAAATATCACCATTTCAATATACAGTGTAATCACAATACAAATGTAATTCCTGTTACCAGCCTCTGCAACAGGCTCACCCTCATGACACTGGCATCCCCCTGCACTGGGAAGTGGGTTGAAACCAGCTCAAGCCCATTGTCCTCTTCAAAGTTGTTTCATTAGTTGTTCGTTTTTTAGACTCTATGTTGGGATAAGCTACGTATAGGCTCTCCGTGTGCTGATCTACTTGATTCACAGATACATTCATACTCTCTTGATGAGCTCGAGAATGTATTTACACCACCACTAAACAGTCACTTGACCCACTCAACTGACATAGCCGTTTTCCCAAAACACAGGCCACCCTCTGGTCACTTTTGTGTTGAGCTGAATTGAGCTTTCTTTGTAACAGCTCTGGTCAGTGATGTCCTGTATTCCTGTAGGTGCCTTACGGGCACATTGCCTTTGCCCATCTCCTCTGAACCTCCTACCACCATGGACATTTATTAGTCTATCACACACTCCCGCTCTGAACTATGCTGAGCACCTCCCATCCTGACCCTAGTGCTACCTAGAATGACTTTTGTACAAGTGGCCTGTGCTGCTGCCATGTGTCCTGGAAGTGTATGACCTGCTGCAAAGCCCAGGGGTCTTGTGTGCACATCTCTGAAGCAAAAAGACAAACACAGACTTTTCTCCAAACTTCTCGGTATGTCTGAAATGCACTCACTCCTCAACCTAATGATGTGTCTTAATATTCTGTCCCTGGAATTTTCCAGCACCATTGTTCATGTATCAGTATGTGTCCAGACAATTTCTTCAGGCCACACGGCCATTATGTTAAGAGACAAGAAGCTGATAACACCAGCAAACGGGGAGGCCAGTGCACTGACCTTTGCTGAAGTAGACACTGTTTCGCGGGGAGATAAGAGTTTCCCACCTCCTTGGGGGGGCTGCAAGAGTGACCAATGAGCGCGGACAACCGCCAAGGTCCGCTCTTGCCTTCCTCTTTATAACCCGGCCTGCAAGGGCAGTTAGCACAACCCTGCTCTGAGTGTTCACTGCGAGGAGCCGGACACCTCACTCTCTTCCACAAGGATGCTGACTCAAGCTGAGAAGGCCGCTGTGGTCACCATCTGGACAAAGGCGGCCAACCAAGCTGATGCCATTGGGGCCGAGTCACTGGAGAGGTAAGTCACCCAAATCCCTCCTAGGAGGGGGCCTCATCTAGCTTTGCTCTGTTGCAGAATATATTGCTATGTGTGGGGTGTCTCTGCGCGGAACTTGTGTGAATGAGATCGCACTGGGAATGGTGGGAACGAGAGTCTGTGATCACCTTGTCCTTCTCCTTACGTGGGCTCAGCCTCTGGCTCTGCGGACCTGGCTCTGCCAACGGGGTGCAGAGCCCTGCGGGATAAGGGCCAAGGCTGCCTGGCTGCTGAGCTTGTGGGGTAGGGGGATTTGGGGCAAGTCCTCTAGAATTCAGCAACTATAAAGAAATTGCTGAGTAGTTCTATGTTATTTAGTATACAATGTACTGCAATTACATCTTTGCTACTAAACTTTAGCAGATGCTCTCAAAATCTTGTGGCAAGCCATAATTTTCTATTCAGTTCTACAGGTTTCTTTCCGCTTATAGCAATTTAGAAAAATTAATAGCTGGGATCACTGTAGAGCTATTCAAAATCACTCACATTCAGAGTCCTGGAATAGGGTTATCACTACTAGGAAATGAACTTAGAATGGCTTATTGCATGAGTGATGTAGTTCCTATTGCCATATAATAAGCAGAGGAAGCTGTCCAGTAAATTAATTGGATACTCATATTTTATTGTTCCAGTTGATATATAACAGACCATTAAGAAATAATACAACTGGACTCTGCATGAAGTATATCACAGTAAACGGGATGGGTACTGAAAGAATCCACTCTAAATACATTAGCTTCTTATTATCACAACAGGGATACCCCTTTCAAATAAGCCCAGCTGCTTTTAAGGCTAAGGAAGTCCCTACTTCTTCCAAAAGAAGTTCACCCAAATTAAACAAGCTAGCAGGAAAGGGAGAATAGTCTGCAAATTGCTCCAAAGCAATTAAGTTAACCAAAGTTGTTCAGATGTTATTTACAGCTCAATCTAAAGCACTGTGATGCTCTTTAAGAGACTAGGGATGCCACTCATACTGATTCTAGTTCATTCAGCTCAGATGAGTTTGCAGATCCTACTAACCAGCTGACAGTGTAATCCAAGAAATATAGGTGACGATCTAGGTGCATTATTTATTAATAAAACATTACTTTTAAAAAGCTTTAGACCACTGGCTAGTCTGTACATATTATAGACGTGTTTTAAAAGCAGAAGCATCACAGGTCTCAATACAAGCTTCAAGGCTCCAAAGCTCTGTTACAATAGCTGAATGAGTGTCCTACTGCAGCTGGTGGGTGTACAGCACACTTGTTCTTGAATTTACATTCTCCATGAAATGTACACTGCTAAATTTGATTCTCTAATTCTCCTTCAGGCTTTTCTCCAGCTATCCCCAGACGAAAACCTACTTCCCTCATTTCGATCTCAGCCAAGGCTCTGCTCAGCTTCGTGGTCATGGCTCCAAGGTCATGAACGCTGTTGGGGAAGCTGTGAAGAACATCGATGACATTAGAGGCACTTTGGCCAAACTCAGTGAGCTGCATGCTTACATCCTTCGGGTGGACCCAGTGAACTTCAAGGTGAGCGAACACAAACAGACACTTTCAGGGATGAAAACTGCCAGTTACAAAATTAGAGTCTGGAGCTAATTTCAGCTAATGGCAGCTTAATCCCTGACTGTACTTAAAGCCTTGTCAACTCACGTTGCTGCTTTGCCATTTGGTTATTAACTTGAGATTGGATCTTTTCATGGAAGATCTACTCTAACTCAAGCAAAGAGCTATTCAAGGAGTTCTCATGGTTGGTGTTAGACAGACCTGAGTCCCTGCTGCCTTTGTGGCGATATGTGAATCTTCTTCACAAATCATATTATAATATCACCTTCCTTGAACGAAGTTTTAGTAAATGCTAAACAACATTTCCACTTTTCTTGTATTTCCCTTTGGTGAAGGGGAATGAACATTTGGAAAGAGGGAATGTTATCAAACTATACCTTTTTCTCCATGCAAAAGGCAACTCTGACTTTTCACACTTCAGCATAAGACGGCAGTGTTAAATGCCTAGGACATGCCTTTGTCATTCCAGAGCAGATTGGGAATACAGGTTGTTATAGATCTTTAGGCTGAAGTCTATAACTGATTATAATAGATTTTATCTTGTTTTCCCTTACAGCTGCTTTCCCACTGTATCCTGTGCTCTATTGCTGCCCGCTATCCCACTGACTTCACCCCTGAGGTTCATGCTGCGTGGGACAAGTTCCTGTCCAGTGTTTCCTTTGTTCTGACTGAGAAGTACAGATAAATGACCTTCACAGAGGGTGAGGGATGCATGTCCATGGCATGCCACAGCTGCCAAGCTCTCAAATCCTCTATATAGGCTTCAATCATCTGTAAAACCCAATAAATAATTCAACTGTGAGCAATGGTCTCTGAGTTTTCACCTTTGCTTGTTCCACCTACACCTCACTGTTCAGCCACGGGTATTCTGACATCCTTAGAAAAGATGGTGGGGAAAATGCTAAGCTATGTAAGTTCACATACATAGTGGGAGTAATATAATATTGAGAAGAAGCCCAGACAGGCTAGAGCCCTGTGTGCTTCTGCTTACTGTTCAGAAGGTGTTTTCACCGGAGATAAGGCCGATGATGAATCGGTCTTTTTCTCCATTGGGATATTGATTGGGATTTTCATTTGACCTATCTGGAAAAAAAAAAAAAAAAAGAGAGAGAACAAAAGAAAAAAGGACAAAAGTGTATGTTTCTGGTGCTGCTGTTCCCTGGAGTTGTCAGTGGACACTTTGGAAAACAGCCCAGCGTATTCTGAACACAACCTGCATTGCCATGTGTTGTGATGTGCCCAGAGTCACACTGGTCATCATTTCTCTGACCGCCCTGCTGCATGCTCCACAGAGTCTAGGGAAGGTGCTTGATATGGTACTTGATGCTTTTATTTTTTGTGAAAATCTTGGGCTATCATACCTGGAAGAGAGGCTTGGTAAGGGGAACAACCCCCTCAGCTTAAAATATCCAGTTTTTATGGTGGCGACTATACATGCATTTGAAGTTTGGAAGTAGTACTGACCACTGGAAGTCTCTGTTGATGATATCTGGAGGATCTGAATTTCAACGGTTTCTCCAGAAAGGGGCACCAGTAAAATACACAGCACTGAGGGTCACCCTGGGGAGAGTAGAGGGATCATCCTCAGAAATACAATTGTGATTCATTGGCCCAGGCCCTCCAGTCAACAGCCTGGCTCTCACATGATAAAAGCTGTGTGAGCTGTATCATTCACATCCTTGCTTCCTCTTCAAAAGGTTTTCCAAGACTCTCCAATTACACATTGTTTCTCCAAGAAAAACACAGTGATTTTTGAGCAGTCTGAAAATAAAAAGCCTCTTTCTTTGGGGGTGTATTCAGCTACCTAAGTGACCCACACACTGTGTGCAGGGCAAAGACTCCATTCTAGGTAAGCTCCCCACACATGTGCAACAAACTGAATAGCCAAGGCAGCTTATCACAGAAACACAGAGTCATTGAGGTTGGAAGGGACCTTTAGAGAACATCTAGTTCAACTCTCCTGCACAAGTAGGCTCACCTAGAACACAATGCACAGGATTGAGTCCAGGTGGGTTTTGAAAAACCTCCAGAGGAGACTCCACAATCTCCCTGGCCACCCTATTCCAGGGCTCTGTTACCCTCACAGTAAAGAAGTTTTTTCTAAAATTCAGATGGAAATTCTTGTGTTTCAGTTTGTTGCTGTTGCCTCTTGTCTTGTTGCTGTCCATTACTGAAAACCGTGTGGCCCATTTCCCTTGACAAACTCCTTTCAGGTATTTGTATACACGGATAAGATCCCTTCTCAGTCTTCTCTAGGCTAAACAGGCCCAGCTTTCTGGATATTTCCTCACAAGGGGGATGCTTCAGTCGCCTAATCATCTTTGTAGCCCTATGCTGGACTCACTCCAGTAACTCCATATCCCTCTTGCACTGGGGAGCCCGTAACTGGACATAGTACTCCAGGTGCAGCCTCACCAGGGCTGAGCACAGGAGGAGGAGGATCACAGGCTCACCTCTCTCGACCTGCTTACAACATTCTTCCTAATACACCCCAGGATACCATTGACCATCTTGGCTACAAGGGCACACTTCTGGCTCATGGTCAACTTGTCTCCCAGATCCAGGACTCCTAGGTCCTCCTCTACAGAGCTGCTCTCCAGCAGGCCAACCCTCCACCTGTGCTCTGCCTGGAGTTATTCCTCCTGGGGTGCAGGACCCTGCACTCGCCTTTGTTGAACTTTATGATGCTCCTGTCCACTCACCTTTCTAGCCTGTCCTGGTTCCTCTGAAAGGCAGCATAGCCCTCTGGTGTGTCAGTGAGGAGTTGATGTCTAAGGACTGAGTGACACCTATTTATTTTGCTGAGCTAGATCTCTGTCCTTGTAGGAAGATATTTTTCAACTTGCCTTCATTGCTCATGTGTGTTTTAAAGGACTTTTTTTTTTACATGAAAAGACGAGTGCAAAGTCTTAGATAAGCCTTGATCAACAAGCCCAAATTGGCATTGCGTGTTTCAGTTCTCCTTTTGGTTACAAAATACTAACTTTAAGAGCTGTATTCATTCACAGCTCTTGAGACTCTGAAAAGTACAGGCACTCTATTGAGACAGAGAGAAAATATTGTTGCTCTGAAGCTATCAAATTGCCCCCAAATTGTTGCATGAAGTCTACACTGACATTTGCTGTGGCCAACAACTTTTTAATACATTGCACGTTTTGGGAGTTTCTGGTAATCTGAATGTTTAAATCAACAACTTATATGGCAGGTCAGCATATGATATATCCATAATCAAATAGCCAAGTGAACACCAATGACTTCAATCTGGGCCTTAATGTGGAATGTAAGAGTCACCAACCACCACATGCCCTGTGGAAAGTTCTTGTGTTTATGGAGATAGGCAGGAGCATGCCTTGGGATGGGAACAAGGCAACAGATTATGGCTTGGAAAGGTATAAACTTGGCAAAAAACACATGCTGAAAAAGGAGGTGCACAGTGACTCTGGACATGCCTTTGGAAAAATGTTCTTTCCCACAGCAGATCCCTGCAGTATCTGAGGGAACTTGACACCAACTTGTCCACAGCTCCCAGGCTGAGGTGCTGGGAACAGTCTGTAGGCAAAGGCAGCCACGGAAAGGAGGAGCCCTGAGGGACTGGAAGACATGAGAGCCAGGTCCACATGCAAGATCCACCACGACTTCAGTGGTGAGGAGCTACGGAGAGACCAGTGAAGGGAGGACATGGTGGCTCTTCACAGGGATGTCCAGGGAGAGGACAGCCAAGGACTGGACCACGGCTGCAGCACCCACCAGAGGTGACCACACTTGCTGACCCACTGCTAGGGGGTAGCACTTCCAGGCATCTTCCTATGATGCCCACAGGCAGCAGGGCACAGGTGTGACCCCTCAAAACAGCCCAGGCAGCCGGCTGGAGCCAGCCAGGGTCCCCTCAGGGCTGGGCCATGTCCCTGCTGGGCCAGGCCATGTCCCCCGGATCCCCACAGCTCCCCGCAGCCCTAGGCAGCCGCTCCCTACGCCCACGGCTGGGCGGCCACGGCCCCCCGCCGCT